CCATGTTGGATATTAGGTTTAGAGAATACTTTTCCTTTTCACATCTTTTATTCATCTCATAATAGAGGTATATATCGATACAACTAATGCTTTGTTGACAAGTAAAATTAGCACACATACTTGACCCTTACTCTAAGGAATACATATTTTCATAATAGTCTCTAATGTTAAGAGAAACAATCCGTCCATATTGTGGATTACCTCAAAATCAACCATATCAAATATAATAACATATCAATCGCTTGATAATTGCCATGAACAGAAACTAAACAAGATCAATAGACCCAATCTATTATATTTGCATCATCAACAAGGGTGAAAATATATACATTAACATCAACTAGCTCACGCAACATATTCAAATCCAATGCAAGGTACCACAACTCATTGAATAAGTGATATTCAAACCAAATTGTCACTAGGAATGACAATGGGTTGGGAGGTGCCAGGGCAGGTCTAAGCTAACATGGGGCGGTTGCGGAGTGGGTTAAAACAATTTTTTTTAAAGAAATTAAGTAGGGCGGTGTGGGTGAAATTGAAAACTTTTTTCTCAAGATACTCTCTGGGCTCTTTCAACTTTCATATCATGTTAAAGAGCAGAAGCTCTCAACAATTACCATGTTCTCTCTTTCTCAGATTTTCATTGAAATATTCCAACTTGGTTGTTTAAAGTTATCAAACAAACACTTTTACATAATTTGTAAACAAAATAAAATTGAGTTTTAGTTCTGGAAATTAATTTGAAATTAAACAAAATCGTCATTCTTATATAGTGAAATGTTAAATTTGTTGGTTTTAGCAAAATATCAAATGAAGAGAAAAAATAAAAATAACATAAGTGGGCGGGCGGAGCATATTAAAAATTGGAACAAAATGTTATATGGGCGGGGGTGTAGAGAATAACTGAAGAAAAATATAATTGGGGAACCTTCTGTTAGCCCAAGATCGATAACTAAAATTGGAAGATTAAACTAAAGAAGAGAAAGCTAGAAAGAAGAACTTGATTCTGGAAGAATACTCTTTTATTTGGTTGTTCTTGAGTTGCTTGGGTTGATTACAAACGGCTATGACCACTCCTATTTATACTAGTATAGGGATGCTTATAGAAATTCTCTAGATACTTCTACAAAGAAAATTCTAGTGAACTTTATCTTCTACATATCTAGATATTTTTTAAAGATAATTATCCTAGGTACTATCGCAGACTAGAGCCGTCAAAATGGGCTTGGCCTGCGAGGCCGGCCCAACCCAACCCTTGAAATAAGTGGGGTTGGGCTAATATTTTTGTCCCAATTACGAATGAGGCTTTTTAACCGGCCCCATTTGGCCCGTTGACCTCTTAGGCCCAACCCGCAAGCCTCAGAGGACAACCCGTGGACTATTAATATTTTAAATATTTTTATATATATTTTTCATAGTGTTTTATTTGTAAAGATTTTATGAATAAATATTTTGAAAAATAAAAAGTCAAGTATTTTGCAATATCATCTTGCATGGTGAATTGTAGATGAAGATGAACTTCTTAAGGAAATAATATAACATGTTGATTTAAATGTGATCAATGTTGGAAGTAGAAACGGAGTTATAAAACATTAATTAATGAGTCATGTAATATTTAGAAATTTAGATTTGTTAAGTATTTAGGTTGTCTTGTGTTACTGGAAATCTTTTAAACCAGCTAGAGCTTTGTGAGAGAAATGATGGAATGATCAACATTTATCCGCTAAATCTTACGTTGGCTATTATGTATTTTTTAAGTAATATTCACCAAAGTGTATGATTCATAAATGTGTTTTTATAATTATTCACAGAAATGTGTGATTTATAAATGAATTCTTTATGAATTGACGTCGTGTTCATAGGAGTTAACATTCGATACTTTTTCTAAGAGAGTAATATTGTTCATTTTTTGGTTGAAGTGTCAACCCGTCCCAACCCGTGGCCCGCTTAGAGTTGGGTTGAGACGCTATTTTATTGACCATTTAATTAAAATGGTTAGCCCGCCCCAATCCATTTAACTCTCTAGCCCATTGGGGTTGGGTTGGGTTGGGTTGGGCCATCCCATTTTGACACCTCTATCTCAGACTATTCTAGAAACTTACTAGAACAATCTATCATATATCCAAAAAATCAACTTTAACTTTTTTCACACTCTCCCTTAAAGTGAATTTTCAAAATTATTCCACACTTGTCGCAGAAGAACTCAAACGAAGCTTTTAGCCACGTCTTGGTGAAAATCTCAGCATTTTCTTTTGGACTCCTCTTCCTTCTTCAAATGATAAAGATAGTCATTTAATCCATGTAGATTATCTCATTGTTGAGTTCTCAAACTCTCTTTCTCTTAGCTTCTCAACAATTAGATTATTTAGAGAAACATACATTATCAATTTGTTGTGAAGTCTCAACACCAATATCGGATCCATTACCATATCCATATTCTCTTATCATCTCCTCGAATCTTCAAAGCTTTCAAAAATCATATTGTTTATCTTTGAAACTTCAAAATCAACTCCTTCATCTATTTGGTCATTATTTTGTCCATTTATTTCCAATGTTTGATCTAAGTAGTTACTGCCCTCGATATCGCTGACAGTTGATTAGAGACTTCAACTTTCCATACTTCTTTCTTAATACTTTCTCCATAAAGGCCATCATCGACATATTTAGCTCCATGCTCTCCTTGTTCAGAATCTATTTCCTTCTTCAATAGAGGCTACCATATCACCACTTGAAACATCCTCAAAGATTTCTTGCTTCATGCTGACAACATCAACTTCTTGTTTCTCCAAGTGGTCGGTTATATAACATTATAAATCCTCGATCCAATCTTTTTCAAGATTGATGGAAATCATGACATTTATTGCTCGAGCCTCAGCTACTAAATATTTTTCCCACTCTTCTTCTTCTTCGGTAACTTTTTGAGTCATATTGCTATCCTTGGCTTGACAATATTTCTTTTATGTGCCCTACTTCGCCACAACGATAACATCTTAGAGGCTTCTTACCATAATAGTTAGAAGGATCTTCTTTCTCTCTAGGTGAGCGTAAACCACCTGAGAATCGAGAGTGTGACATATCTCGTGTTTTTCCTTTAAAGTTTCTCTTATCGGCTATAAGAGCATTTTCTTCTCTTTTGACAAATACACTAGACAATTGCTTAGTTAGTAGTTCCTGTGATGACAACAAATTTTCAAACTCCACCAAGGACGGTTGTTGAGCCCATCTTTGAATCGACGTTACAAATGGAATATATTCAGGCTTCAAACCACAAATGACAATTTTATTCATTCGTGCTTCAGAGATAGCCTCATCCGGATTCAACAAAGATATCTCAGAACATAAGCTCTTAATCTTCAAAAAAATACTCAGAGATAGAAAGATTACCTTGAGTGGTGTTAGCCAATTCATTCTCCAATATCTGCAGCCGAGCTTCATTCTTCTTGTTGAACAAGCGATCGAGGGTCCTCCATATCTCGTAAGCTGATTTACACTTTATAATGTGATCAAATAAATCGGAGGAGATTGTCCTCTTCAGAATGAACTCAACATTCCCATTAACTTGCTTCCATTTCTTGTATATGCTACTGTTTCCCGATCCGTCAATAGGAGGACTCGTGTCATTCCCATTAACAGCATCCCACAAATCCTCTCCGACAAGTTATGATTCCATACATGTCTTTCATACCATGTAACTGGACTGATTCAACAACTCAATCCTCGTCCATTAACACGACCGCTAAAATCCATCTAAACAAACCAGTTGAATCTACCACCAACCCGATCTTGAAATAAAACCCACTAGCCAATCTACGGCTATGACTCTGATACCATGTGAAGAATAGTAAAAGAAGAGTATAATTGGGGAACCTTCTGCTAGCCCAAGACGTTAACTAAGATCGAAGATTCAACAAAAGAAGAGGAAGCTAGAAAGGAGAACTTGTTTATGAAAGAATACTCTTTTATTAGGTTGTTGAGTTGTTTGGGTTGATTACAAATGACTATGATCACTCCTATTTATACGAGTATAGGGATGCTTCTAGAAATTCTTCTACATACTTTTACGAAGAAAATTCTATTTAACTTTATCTTTTAGATATCTAAATATTTTTTAAAGATAATTAACCCCGATACTATCCTAGACTATTCTAGAAACTTACTAGAACAATCTATCATATACCCAAAAAATCAACTTTAACTTTTTTAACAGGGGGGAATTAAAATTTTATGGATAAAGCTTCAACTCACCTCATTGTCATCTCTAATTATCACATGTTTATCCTATGAAATATGACTAGTAAAAAATATCACAAATTTCAGTATACAGTTAAAGAGCCAAAGATATGTCAACATATTGTGAAATTTTTTATTAAAGAACCCAACAATCATTTGTCAAACAGTTGGGGAAATCCTACGATTCTTCCAAATAATCAACTGGCAAAATTCTCCTCCATTCCTAAATTCACAATTTCATTTTCAAAATTCCTTTAGAAGAGTCAAGCAATGGGGACAGTTACGACGATATCGATAGCAATTGGCAGTGTAATATTAGGTTTGATTACCATAGAAATTGCGGAACACGACCCGTATGATCAACACAACAACATACGTGCCCCCTTTCAACCTTATCCCGGATCCAGACTCAAACCCATCTGAGCATCCGGATTCTACTGCTACTTCTTTGATATGAAGTGTCTAATTTGTTGTTGGTGACACGAACCCACAATAAAGTTAAAGTTGCTCATTTGCTGGGGGTCCTAAGGTGTTTCGTCATAAAATATGAAAATATTATTAGACTGGAATGGTTTGTACTGACATGTGGTTATTTGCTCTCCTATTGTCTGTTTAGTTAGATTGTGATAATAGATGTCAAATTACAAATTTAGTTGAATTTACTAGCTATTACTATAGGCAATTTAGCTATATCAATCAACTAATTGCGTCTCAATCCCAAGGTAAGATTTAGATCCTAAAGATTTATATATCAAATAAGAAAACTGGAATAGTAAAAAGGAATACATCATTCATTCTTGGGAATCACATTCAACAATGAAGCTTATCAAAACAAGGTTCAAAGACAATTACTTGACACCAGCTGCATATATATACTAAGTTAAGGCTCAAAAAACGACCATTCAAGCAACATACTGTAAAATTTCTACATAGAGATCCTTGATTATCCAGTTTTACAAGCTACTCAAAACGATAATGGCTGCTCACCCGGAATAAACCCCTAAATCTGTTAAGAGACCTATTTCAACATTCAGGTGTAGCGTTTCAATGGATCAGCTGCCTTGCCAGATCTAGCATCAGTCCAGGCTTTTGCAATTGTCTTCTTCATTTCCTCATCACCGTCCTCATACATGTTCTGCAAAATGAAACATCACTCATCACATACACATTGAAAATAAGAAAGGAATTGCAAAGAAGTAAGAAGTCCACAACATCAGAACAAGTTGATACCTTCATCATATCCATTATTCCTGCCATGGGGTCTTTTTCTTTGTCCAAACTAGGCTTGAACTGCAGAATAATAAGCATGGCATGGTTATTAAACAATCACCATAATCAAAAGTGAAAAATAATTACGTGGAACAGGTAATAACCTTGTCCTCTTTGTAATGCAAATCCAACCAGTTCCCTTTGGAGGCTTTGGCCAAGGTGATGACAACCCTTGATGGTTTCACGAGCACCTTACATTTCTCAGGTACAATCTCTCTGTTCAATTTCGGCAAGGAGAAGCGATAGTTCTTTCCATTTACATCATGAAACTTGGCATCAAAAGACATAGGCTTGAAATCTGTCTCCGTTTTCTCCTGATCTACTCCTTCCAATGATAGATAAATCTGCATAAGAGATAAATAAGCCATCAGAGAAGAGACAAAGAGTACAATCAATGAAGGCATTGCAAGAGTTCAAAATATCGAAATGATAGAGAACTGAGTGGAATTTTATAATTGAAGTAAGAACCCTTTCCAATGGTTAAGCAAGTATCTCACACATTCAAATGGATACAGGGGTTCAACGTTATAGCTCTGACTGAAGATATCGTACCTTCACTTTGTCATTGTCCTGATCCCAACTGAAGGATGAAACAGAGACATAGTTCAGAGATGGTTTGTGGATCACCTTTGCTGCAGTTAAAACTGGAGCTGGTATTTGCGAAGATGACACTGAAGCACCATCTTTTGACAGCTGCAGAACAGAAAAGACGTTAAGACTTAAAATATCATATTACAAATGTAAACCTGTTCGCAGAATACCTTTCACTAAGAACAGATTGAAAAGAGCTGCTAAACACATTTCTGTATAACATGATTCAAGAAGGATGTTTCATGTCAAATTAAATGTGCTATTGCCTCATTTGTCATAATCTTAATATCTAATTTGATAAGAAACAGCAAAAACTTGGATATGATGCAGGTAGACTTTTAACAGCACCATTTTCTAATCTCATTTATGTATCCATTATCCATTTATCGAATAGATATAACCTCGTAAAGAATAAAAGAATGAAAATAATGATCAACCAGTATCTCCTGAAACTGTATTTTGCAGCTGTGCATCTTGTTTAACATACATAATCACCAGAGAAGTTTTCAAAAACAGAGTCATCATGCTTAGCAATAGGTTTGGGATATCAAAATTATTAAAGGTGAAATGTTTTGAATTAAATACTCCATGAAATTACTAAGAATGAAGAAGAATATAAAAATGACGGAAATTAAAAAAAAAATTACATAAATTTGAGTAGTTAAAATATCAAAGCAATTTTACTAGTAAAAAAATCAATGTGCAAGTAATTGTTAATGGTTCAAGGGAGTAAAGAACTCATGATGAAGTAAAATGATAGTTCAAAAATTCATTATGTTATCATTGGACTACAATAGAAATGTTCCAATCTAGTCTCACTCAACAATAAGTTTCTAAATTTTCTTTATCTAAAATCTTCATGGTGTTCAATATTTAAGCCATAAATAGAGTAGATATTTGCAGCTCAAAGAGAATGTAATGTCAAAGCTTCAAGCCTCATACATCCGATAGAACATACCGTTAACAATCACGATAACACAAATCAAATACACTTCTAAGCATCACATGTCATCATAAATTTGAAAGCAAATTAGGTGATGTAAACTAAAAAATCAAGTTGGATTACGTTTTGACCCAGCTGGTTACACTAGTTAGATCCCTGTTTTGACCCGAATGTTGTTTGATGGGTCATTTTGAGTTCGATCTGTTAGGTCAAATCAACAATATAGTCATTACCCAACCAGTTGAAATACCGGACCGATAGGGGGTTTGGGATGATTTTGCCCCTACTTAGTATTCATTTCAAGATACTAGACTAGAACCATTAACTTCTAAAAGACTAAACAGCCAGCTGATGCAATTACAGCTGCTTCATCCACTTCTGCAACAAGAACCCATTATACAGTCACTAAATCATCTAGAAGTCACAGCTATTAAATCACTAACAACAAGAAGTATATTCGGATTCCTTGATAAAGATTTCAGATTAAGAGCACCCATGCTATCATAATTTCCCGAACCCAGTCTCATTTTATTGAAGGAAGCCATCAAGTGAGACTTAAGAACCTTACCTTACACAAAAATCAAAACCTATAGTCTCATTTTATTGAAAGGAGCCATCAAGTGAGACTTAAGAACCTTACCTTACACAAAAATCAAAACCTATAGTTTCTACACAATAGTTCATCTTGAAATGAAAAGAATCATGAGACAACAACAACAATAATCCCATTTGTGAGTTCTGGAGAGTAAAATACATGCCGGTCTTACCACTACTTCATGGAAAAATAGTGCAATAATCGAAAAATCATATAAAAAGAATGTCAAAATTGAAGGCATAATACATAAATATTTCATTTAACTTTACATCATTATTTAACTTTACATCATTTCACCTTATCATCCAGTTTTGAATGTGTATAAGTAGACACTTATAATTATACAATGTTAAACAAATTCTATATTGCATAATACACCTATGAGCCCAAGTAGAGCGCATAATGCCAGGTATGATGCCACATAGAACGGGTTACAAATTTAAAAGTATCTGCATATATAACATAAATATAAAAAGAGATAAGTTAAAATACATATTTATTTGTTATGACAAAAATGAATCATGCTGAACTATACCAATTCAAACTATAATTGAATTACTCCATTTTAGCTCACATATACCCAACTTAAAGAGGAAAAACGACAAACTGAAAAATACAGATACACAGACAAGCAACAATACTGGAGATGGAAATAGTAAAACACTAATAACAATAAAAAAAGAGTGATAACCTTCTCCAAGTTACGAATCTCAGTATAAATGAGAGAAAGGACACGAGGCCGTTTGGCTATGGTGTGAAGCTGCTGAAGTTCCTCCAAGTCCAAAGCTAAATCGTTAGCAGCCATTTTCTACTTTCTTCTTCTTCAACAAATAAAATCAAATGTGAATTCGGGGTTATGGAAGATTTTTGAAGTTCAGCATAGAAAATGCTAGAAATTTATAAAAGAAAAGTTGAGAAGCTTCCAGACCCTAGAGGAGGCTCGTAAATGTGTGTTAATGGGCTGGGTGTTCCATTCATCCAAATTTAGCCGGCCGGCCTCATTGGAAAGCCTCATAATGAATACTCCTTTCGTACGTTGTGATGTTTCATTACGACATTTGATAAAAGAAATAATATTTTTGGATAACCCCGAAAAATAAGATTTTGTGACAAATCAAGATTATAAAATTTAAAGAATGCATATTATTAACATTTTGTTTGAATCATTATTATCCATTGTTTCATAATATATTGTATTGTATTATATTCTATTTTATTGTATTATATGATAGATACAATGTTTGACTAGCTGTATTATTTGTTATTGTTTAATAACGTATTAATTGTTTGGTTTGATTGTATCGTATTGTATTGTAATTTATAAATTTACTAAAATATCCTAATTATTTAGGGTAAGAGGTTTGACTAGATTTAAATAATTGAGATAAAGAGTAAAAAGTTTTTTGAAATATTATGTAAAGATATAGTTGGAAAAAGAAATTAAGTAACAATGGGAACACACCAAATTGGTTGTTCCATAAAATACGAGTTTTCATTGTTACATAACAACCAAATTTAATAATACAATACAATACATTTTAAGTAACAATTAAAACAAACATTGTAGATATAGTAACAATACAATATAATACAATACAATGGATAACAATAATGTAAATTAATAATATCACTAAATTCAAATATTTGACTTTATTTTTTAAATTTTTTGTTCATTCAAAACTAAAAAGAATAAGAATTTTGTAGGGAATCACATGATGATTTCAAGTATTTGTTATGTAACGTATAATTTTTTAAAAATAATATCCCACTAAATAGTATTTTTCATCTTTTTTCTACTTAATCCATGTACCTTAATGGTAGGCTTTCATTTTGAGGAAAAAGAAACTCACCCTATTTTTGGATATTTTGTTTTACTTTGTACACTATCCATTCCAAAATTATGTGGGATGAAAAATTATACTAAGTAATTATTCCTTTCGTTCATAATTGTTTGACATTTATATTAAAGATAGATGTTCAAGATTATTATCAGTTTAAACAATTAAAAAATAATTAGTCTTTTTTTCAATTATATTCTTAATAATCACTTCATTTTGTTCAATTAAAAAGTTATGTAGACTTTTGATGTTCTTGCTATAATAGGGTTATATTAGTCAAAGTAAACCTTGTATTAAATTTTTCTTAAGGAAAGTGCTTGATTGACAAAATAATTTTTTTGCCATAATTAAAGGGACCCACCACCTATTTGTATATCAACAATAAAAGACCTATTTCTGATTGTGTATATAATTTTATACAAAATCAATTTTATCTCTCCTATCTCCATTATATCTGCTTCTCCTAAAATCACTCCTCCACTCTATTTTGAATTTCAATTTTGGAAGATTTCACGTTCTCCCCCCGTCTTGCTCAATTTTTGCAGGTAACCGCTAAAATCAACCCATGTATCTTTTTTTTCCTTCATCAACAATTGTATATGTATTATGGTGTCTTAGTTTTTCATATATATATATTTTAAAGTCTTTCTTTCTTATCAGATTACAAGTTTTCTTCAAAATCAGAATGGAAGATTCATCTCCATTTGTAAGAATTATCTGCTTGAATGTTGTGTATATAGTTGTTTGTACATTGAATTATTATATAAAAAACTGATCAAGATATTTGTGTTGTTATATTCATATTTTAAGTTTTTTTTTTTGTATATTTCAACTAGTTATATATGTATATAAGTAATTACTTTGAAAAATTGATACAACTATTTGTATAATAATTTATTTTAAATTATAAAAAATTTGTATTTTACGTTATTATATACGAAACTGCTCGGGAGATTTATGTATATACAAGTACTATATTCATATTTTTATTTATACACATACAATTACTTGTATATGTATATAATAATTAGTTTACAAATTGATACAAATTAAACAATTTATATTCAATTTAGTTACATTCGTATATATAATTTATATACATCGAATAGTTCAATTTTTCGGAGACAAGTTTTATGGTCTTTTTGTCGTTATAAATTTTTTTTTGAAAAAAGTATTTGATTTTGAATGTTTAGCTTAAATAATGGGTTTATGTAAATGTTTGTTTCTGTATTTAGGGCTATTGTTACTATATAATAAAAAATTAAAATATAGTACAAATTAAAAAAACGTTTTATACAAATTAAAAGCTACATAACAAACTAAACTCTACCCACAAAATGTATATGTAAACTATACTCATATAATGTTTAGTTTGCCATATATGAACCCCCCCCCCCCCCTTTTTTTTCCGAGCTGGGCTTTTTATTAATTAAAAAAAAAAGCAACTTACAAAAATGACTATATTTATATGGTTGTTGAAGTTCAATAGCTATAAATATGTTATTTAATAAAAATGACTACACTTTGTGTCAATTTCTAGATGCATGTTTGTATTAATTTTTTTAAATTATTATTTATGGAGTGATCTTACAATGCACTAAATAAGGTATGATATGTTACCATAACTGCCAAGTGTCAACCTTTTATTATGTTCCTAAATTATTCAAATTTCCATTATTAAATTACCAACTAATAATTACATATTGTATGCATATATGATTCATTCACTTAATACAATAACTTGTATTTATATTTCTAAATACAATATATTCACTAAATACTAATTATAAAGGTATTCATAAAATTTTGAACATAATCTCATTGTATTTTTGCATTTATTTTTTATTTATTTATACACTAATACAGTTGTAATTACAATAACTAAATAAGAAAAATGTATTACTTGTACAATTAGCATTTGGATACATTGAATTCAAATTGGTGTTTCTATTATAAAACTTAAAGTATTAATCTATCAAGGATACAAGTGATTTATAAAAGTTTAATGTATTAATACATCAAACAAGGTAAAGTAGTACAATTTTAGCATATGAATACAACCATTTGGAAAAAGGATATGCTATTGTTAAACCAAAAAAATTAATACACCAATATACTATACATATGAATACACTGTTGATAAATAAGAAAATGGAAAAACGATCGAGTGTGTATGTATCAAAGTATGTAAGTATTTGACTATATAAAAATTGAAAAAATCAACAAAAAGTGATCTATTTTTCGTGAAGTTATTTCCATAATACTTAAGGTTTGATGTTAACTTAGGTATTATTTATCAAAATATAGTATAGATGATTCAATTATACTTGTATTGCCTAATCAAATTGGATAATTACTTATGTATCCAAATATACTTGTATTCACAAATCACCATTCGTATTAATATTAAAATACAATTGTCTATGTATATAAGTATTATGCTATATACAAAATTGACAAACAACAAAATTATCTATCTACACTCTCTGCTAACAACGATAACCTAATGGCTCCGCTGAACTGAGGGTATTCCCTTCACTCCATCTCATAGACCGTCGAGGATCTCTCAGTGGTGTATCGGGACAAGGAAATGAATTTAGCATTAAAGGTGACACTCTTCGCAAGAATATATGCAATTTCTTCATGGAAAGAAAAGTATAAAAACAATATAATTTTCATTAAAAAACAATTTCAATGAAAATACTATAAAAATAAATGTATATAAATAAAACTTTATAAAAACGAGGAGAAAAATCAATTAGAAAATGCATTATAATAAATTCAAATCACAATAATCGCTCCTAGAATAATACAAAAAAGATCTTGAATGGGTAGGAATTTGGGGGAAAACACAAAAATATATAATATAGGGATATTGATGAAAGAAAAGGTATTGATGAAAACATAATTAATTATGAGTATAATAATAATTTCCTATTTAATATTTATTTATATTAAATATATATATAAAAAACAAATTTTTGATATATAATTAACTTTGCTATTTACTATATAGTTATATCCACATAACATTAAAAAAATTAGATTATAGCTATTTTATTTAAACGTATATTGATGTTTGTCATATTTTGTAGTTTTTCTCTAAAAAAAAAGCTATTTACAAACGCAGAAGCCCATATATATGGCCTAGATTGAAAAAATTAAAAAAATGAAATCACTAAAACAAAAAAAGACAAGTGCTTCAGGACTTTCAAGAAAACTTTTTCAGCTCTACCAGATATCCTCAACATCATATCAAATGAGTAAACAAATCAAGATGGACCGCAAGCATGTTGTCTTTCTTAATACAATATCACACTTCCGATCACCATCCTCTACAAACAATATTCATGTTTAGCTTGTAATCACTTGAAAAACAAAAAACTAATTAACATTATGATTAAACACCAATGAAGAATTCTTTAACATGATTGTATTAGATCTATGTTGGCTCCAAAGGTATGTGAATTTGCAACTTTTTCCAAAACAGAAAAGAATTCAAATTGAACATGAAATTGCCTTTTTCCTAGCTCATATACCTGTCTTAATGTTTTCATTTTCTTACTGTTACAACTTTTAATTTATCCTCTCAACAGATTGAACCCCAGTAGGGTTGATACTACTATTTAAGAAGATAAATTTTAGATGAAAAAATAAGATATCGATATTCTACTGTAGTTTCTTCTATTGTATTTTTTTGTTCTTTCATTCTCTATTGGCTCTGTAACTTATAGCATATATTTTGTATTCTTCGTAGTCTCACATTCGACATATTATCCATTTCGATTTGTATCACTATTTGTGCTTGTTGAGGAATTTCATGCATGTTAGAAATTTTCTTTCTGTGTGTGCCTACAAAATCAAAAGTATGATATTTTAAAATTCCGCCAATGTGTTCGTGTCTCGATAAGTATGCACCACCATCACCGCTTTATTCATCATCAATCCTTTTATGTACCCTACATCTAGAGATCTCAAATATGGGACTTCCCAAATTTTATTTATGACTTTCTAAAATTAATGACTTTTTTTCGATAATCAAAAGCACAAAACTTTGGTTTAAACAATAATCTACATCCATTTTAATTGCCTTAATCTACTTCAGTAACAAAAA